GCGCGTTGAGCGGGGTGTGTTGGTGGTGGGGGGTGGAAGGTAAGGAACACCATCTTAACTTGATATATTTTATAAATGATAACTTCAGAAAAGTAATGCCAGTCTTTTAAAACAAATTCTATATTCCATTTTACTGACCATATGCTCCACATTTGTGGGTTATTGCGTTAGGTTCACATAAACATGAAGTAGGATAAGCCTCTTCCAGAAACAGGAAAAAATACATACTCTTTGCATAACACCAAAATGCAAATCACGTATCTGATGCGTAAAAATATTTTTTCCTTGAATTCCTACTGAACCTAATAAATTTTACTAATACTTATGGGGCTTTTAAAATGCTTAAATGATTTTTTTTCAACACTAGTAGCTATATTTATTGTATTTATAATATACTATTTGTTTTAGTGGAAAAGTGAATATTTGATTAATCTTATGAAGTTGGTCGTTGGGGTTTTTTGTTTCATTTTTTTTTTAAGGTGGATAGTCCGCTGCTATTCTGACTTGGTATACTGCTGCATATGTATCAAAACCACAACTGTACATCAGCAGAAAGTTATTCTGATGTGATATGGTCCCAACGGTAACCATGAGAGCTGACAAGAGTACCTTCTATACATTTAAATTCTAATTTTTTCATGGTCAGTGATTTATATAAAGTTATCAACAGCGATTCCCATTAAATCAATTATAGTGGATAAACAACACATAAAATTGATGAAAGATTTATTTTTCTATCCAAAGAATTAACACAATTATTTTGCATGCTGAGGGAACAGAATTATAATTCAAATGAAGCATCGTGTCTTTTGTTTCACCTATGGTTTACGACAGGCCTTACCTGATTCAATATATGACTTCTCAGCAGGCTGGATGGTCTCCTCAGATTCTGGTGATGTTGGCTGTGCTGGGACAGATCTTTCTTTAAGGCCTGCATTTTTCAGTTATAAAGTTAACTTTATGCTCTTTTTGATCTGATTCAATTACAAACTAAGAAAGTTGTTTCAATTAAATTAACTGATGTTAAACTCTCCAAAACATATTCAAACAATTAATCACAATTACAGGGCTGCCCTGGTATACAGTGATATATACAAAGACTAAAGTGTATTCAGATAGCAAACCTGTTTTGAAGACAAACATACAATGAGGGGAAAAAAGGGACAGAAATTTAAGCACTTGCCTTTAATTCAAAGTAATTAACAAATGACTATGCTATTCTCAACATCTATTCAGTATCCAGAAGAAAAACAGGCAGCAGGTTTTCCCTCACTGTTTTTCTCTTTGGGCAAAAAGTGCTTTATATGATCAATTTTATAGGTTTTATGAAGAACTAATTTGAGCTTTATAACATGCTGCTCAGAATGAGAAGAGGTATTTTAAATTCATGTGTTAAATCTTAGAAGATCTGATGAAGAGAACTGTAGTTTCTTCAAAATAATTTCAATCTCCAGTTTCTTTTGACAACTAAATTACTACAGAAAAAGTAAGACTGATGAAATTTTGTCACTAAGATGCTTACTATCTATACCACAGAGTCTTTCCAGATCAAAACACAATGAAAAGAAAGCAACCAATCACAACATGGTAAGAGATAAAGGTAATTCATAGCCTTGAAAGATTATGCCACATCTTGAGACACCACCTCCTCAAGAAAGAATGTATTGGTTTTAGCCTAATCCTCCTTTCAACTACCCTTTACGAAGGATTCAAGCACGACTTAAACAAGAGAGGTTCAGAGTGGATATAAGAAAAACTTACACACACACATGCGCGCACCCACATGCATACCCCACCATGAAGACAGTCAAACCAGTGGAAAAGGCTGCACAGAGAGGCTGCGCATTCCCATCCTTGGAGGTTTTAAAGACTATGCTGGATAACGGCCAGCGTAACCTAGTCATACCTCTGAGATCACCCTGTTGTGAGTAGGATGTTGGAATAAGGATCTCCTCAAGTCTCTTCCAAACAGAATTCTCCTACAATCCTACATCATTTTTCCTAGTTTCATATTTAAGTATAAGTTCCAAGGTCAATTGAGAGAAAACTACCGTCTTAAATAAACACACACACTGCCCAAAACAAACTAGTTTCTCAAGAGCCATATGCACATAAATCAATAGAAAAATAATATTTAAGAAAGCAGAGGCTACACTATAACGAACACTCCTGCACTGCTAATAATCTTGTAAAAGTAACTTTAAGTGGAACAACAGAAGTTATTATATTTCAAGCCAGTAAAGTTTTAAAAAAATAATTACCAGGTTTCTACTGGAGTCAAACATATCTCAATACAAATAGGACTAGTATGCCTCAAAACAACTTTGTGTAAACTCGAGAGATTTTCATTGTTTTATGCATCGTGAGAAAAACATATTTATTCCATTACCATATATAAGTAATGGGAACAGGAATAACAGAATTAATCCTACTTATACCTTTTCATATTAGTTAAATTACATGAAGATAAGTAGTTAGGCTGTATCTAAAAGTACTGTAACTAAGAGCCCACTACTATGGAGTCAAGATCAGAAGCCAGAAGAAAAAAGCCAAATTTACACTTAATTTTTTGCCAGTTTTTATCTGTGTCATTAAAAAAACCCTAATATATTAAAAATATTATTAAGAGTTACATTCATCTTTTGCTGCAGTAATATTAATGGCTACAAGAGTAAGAAGTGACTTCCTCCTACAATAATCTTTAACTACATCGGGAGATAAAACCAGTTACTTGTATTAGCCACTGTCTCACACTTCAGAATCTGGAAGCGTAGAAACAGCCACCCTGCTTTAACAGATACAGTTCCCTTACATATACACCTCTTTAAATATACCCTCATATCCTCTGATAACTCACATCTCCCATTCCAGACAACCACGTGCTCTGCTCCATGAACAATAAATGGATTCAAAGTATTTCAAAAGATATTCAATATTTCACAGCCACCAAGCACTTAGGGTGTGTAAAAGAAAAGAAGGGACTACCAAGAGTATTTCTTTGTTTTGCTTGCACATTTCTCAATTTTACTTTCAAGCTTTTTATACACATCTATCATGGGCTTATCACTGATTCCTATTCAATCCTGTTGAGTACGTAATATGTTAAGTCATTTACTTTTTGCAAGATACTATTTTCTCTCATCTTTTTGTCAAAATAAAGTTGCACTCAGTTTTTACTTGTGTGGTGCATTTTTTGAGCTTATGTGGTAACTTGCCATGTTAAGTTGAATGACAATAATGTTTCATAGAGACATACAACAGCGAAACAGATCTCTAGGGCAAAAATCTCATTTTATTGTGTGGCTATCTGTATAGCTTGGAGTGCTGCTCAAATAAAACATTTTTTTGGAAAAAAAAAAACAAACTTTTTTAGAACCAGATAAAATTTGGGTCACAGATACAGTAATATGTTAATCAGAAAGGCAAGGCAACTCATTCCAAATTTCACTCCCAGACAGTTACAACTTCTGTCACATTAGGGGAGAAAAAAAGTGATGTGCGCTACACCACTGTGCCACCACTCTTAAGAAGTGTGATTTGAGTGCTCCTCTATCAAGTATGTATCTTAAGACCTATCAGAGCAAAGATGAATAAACACGTCTATCATCACCGAAACCTAAGAGAATGCTCATTATGCAAGTGCATTTATTAGATCTTCATTTTGTCAAGTTTTTTGCTAAGCACTATAACGTTCATAACGCACACATCTTTTCCCTCCTTCTTCACACATATATATTTAGAAAATAGCTCGGTATATCATCTCTGTTAATTATCACAGCTAGAATCGTAAGCTACTGCACTATTTTCTACAGCTTCCATTTGAACTATTTTTCATAAGTTTCTTCTAGAAAAAAAAAAAAATCGGATAATATCTTACCCTATTACCATATCTTATACCTCTAGGGATCAAAGTGTCTTACAGAGACACATATGTGCTCTATCAAAAGTCTGAGGTAAGTGTATTGCCAACTGTTATACACAAAACTTAAGCCAAACCACGAACAGAATCAACCTTCAGGACTTTAATGTTACACCACCACCCACATGCAAATACTCATGCTCAATTTCACTACTTAGTTGTGTTTTCTTTAAAACAATACTGCAGTATTACAATAATAAACCTTCAACTTCCATTATAAATTTTGTTCTCCATCTTGTGTAATTCTATTGTGCAATTAATATTTCAACACACTAAGTAATATTATTTGTCGAGTAAAATTAGAAAATATTCCTTGTCCATATAAACTTGAAAGCAAGTACAGATTCAATAACATACTGAAATATCTCTGAAAAAATGTTTTGTAACTTTTTTTACTCTAATGAGACTGCTGGATAAATCATTCCTCGGTGCTAAAAATACAGAAGCTATAAGAGCAAACTAACACAGGAGCTTGCTTACGGAAGTATCACGTACTTCAACATTGTTGTTCGAAGAAAATAATGGTTGCAAAAATACATAAGCTGCTCTCTAATCAAGTTCAACCAGAATACAGTAGTAGTAGCATATCACTTCTTAAAATGTGATTGGAATCCAACAATACCCATCAATGGTGAAACAGGTGGCCTAATTTTCAGAAGTATTAATTACCAGATGCTTGGAAAACTTGGAAAAAATCAGGACACAGTAAACTGAAAAGTGACAGTGAATCAAGTTTTCAGACCTAAACACAGCTAAAAAATAAAAAAGAAAGAAAGGACAGAAGAAAAGCAGAACATATTGTCACAGGATCAATAAACAAAAGTGTTGCAATACTTTGGTTGAGCATACACTGAAGTCTTATAAATAAATGCAACACTAAAGTTGGTTTGAGTGTTTGTGTATAAAATAGTTTTCTCATGCTACTTCGGGAAAAAAAGTTTAGCAGGGAATGATTTACATTTATTTGCTAAGTTCCTATGACAATATGTTCTATTAATGCTCCTCTTGGTTGCTTTTGTGAAACAGAAATATTTTTTTGTGAGTTTCCACTATATCAGTCCAGACAACCCTCTTAACATTGCTTTTAAACTTGTATTTGATATACAGCATTACACTTTCATGCCCGCATCAAGAAAATAGCATTTTAATACAAGGACACAAAAAAGGAAAAAGAAACAAAAAACAAAAACAAACAAACCAGATTTAGAGTATGCTTGAAGTAATTGGCATCAATTTGATATTTCTGTTTTCAATACAGATTGTTAGCCAGGCAAATGAACATATGTACATACTTGAGTTTCACAGCAGACATTTTTGCTTTGTGTTTACAATGCCAGTACACGCTTAACAGTTTTCAAAAAAATGATTATATATAGCCTTTGTTCACACTTATTTCCAGAAAACATTATCTTCTTATTGCCATATTCACCACATTCATATAAATACGCTGAATTTCTCATTCTTGAGGTCTGTTCCTCATTAGCACAACCAGAACTCTGTTTATTTCTTTTCTTTCTTGTCTTCCTTGGATGGGTTTTTAACTATCTTTTTTGTTTCTTTGTCTTTTCCCACCTGAATAGTACCATCCTTTTCACTGGCTGATTTTTTTGTAGCCTCCTTGGATTTCACATTTTTGTCTAGACTTTTTTCCTTTTCCTTTCCTCTGTCTCTTTTAGCCTTGTCAGAATCTTTCTTTAATTTATTCATATCAACAGCTTTCTTGTCCTTTCGATCAGTAGCATCTTTTCCTTTCCTGGCTTTCTTTTTTCCTTCCTCATCTTTGATTTCCTCCTTCTTGGATTCCTGCTTCTCCTTTAATTTCTTGAGTGGTTCTTTAATTGCTTCTTTTACTTTTTAGTTTTTCATTTAAAAAAGAGGAAATGTTCAATAAGAGAACCATTCTTAGATCAGAAAACATAAGCAACTATCTGAAAGCTTTCATTGAATTCTTAATGTTTGTTAGATGCCAATTTAAAATTGTATAACTATTTAAGCTTTAAGCCATTTAAATA